AACAAAAGTTTCCAAGTATCTCTAATACACTTACTTTTTCTCCATCAGCATTAAAACATCCTTTCTTGTCTGGCCTTTTACCTTACCCAGCAAGGCCTGCACACATAAAGTTTATATCAAGCAGCAGATGGACTCTGTTTCTCTGCCTATGAAAATCTTATTTACAGTGTTGTATATTTCACACGGTGACTTCATATCTGGAACCCATTTCTTTCCCCATCTGCAAAGAACAACTGTTCTCATATGTGGGGGGGAGGTCCTGGCTGCAGAGTCCCATGATGTCACAGGCCAGAAGGAATCACTTACAAACTACTGGGAATTAGAGTTGTTATATTGATCAGATTTTTGTTTTGTTTTATTTGAGTATCAGCAACGAGTGGTTTCAAAAGTGAAAACTAAAAGGGAGCTGAAGCTAATACCATTGCAGAACGCTGTCTCTAGATAGGTATAAATCTATAGCCAAAATTCTAGGCGACTAGTTTTCTTTCAAGTTCTAATGACTGACGTTCCCCCGACTCTTCTTCAAAAGACAGTATCTGGATCCTTTATTCAGTCAATAAGTAAATATTTATTCAATATAAATGTATTAAGCATCAGTCAAATGTCAGGCACTGAGCTAACTTCTGGAATAAGACATGACCCTGCCATCAAGGACATGAACAGTCTATTTGGGGGAAACATAAAAGAAAAGAAATGGTGGTAAGTTTAGAATAAAGGGAAAACAAAAAAGTCAACTACAGGAAAGCACTAACAGCCAACTCTACTTGGAGAATTAAAATGAGGCTTCTCAAAGTGGGTAACATTTAGGCAGGGACTTAAAAGCTAAGCACCATTACATCAAGACAGCGGGAGAAAGCATTCTGAGCACCAGGACCAGCACGCACAAAGTCACAGAGACATCAAGGAGCACAGTTTTTACAGGAAAAGACTGGAAGCTCAGGGTGAATGGAGGACAGTGCTCCTGGAGGAGAGTGCAAGAGGATGAGAATGGAGAGGCACAATGGGTCCTCCTACATGAAACAGGAGGAGGGCCAAGAAGCTTACAGATAAAATGGTGTTCAGGATATGGGCTGAACAATGAAGAGCAAATGATGGATTAATGAATGGACTAACATCCAAATGCAGCTTCATCTCTCCTAAGAGAGGCCATGTCAAATAAATCCAGGGAAAGCTTTTAAAAAAAGAAACTCCAATAGGGCTGGGTGTGGTGGCTTATGAC